AGGACTAGGACTAGGACGGGACTAGGACTAGGACTAGGACTAGGACTAGGACTAGGACTAGGACTGGGACTAGGACTAGGACTAGGACTAGGACTAGGACTAGGACTAGGACTACGACTACTACTGCTTCTCACGAAAATCTCCAGGCCTGAATCAGACGCAGGTGAAGATTGTCTTGCATGGACCCGTTTCGAGAATCTCTCCCCTTGCACAGGGTAGGATCCTTATGCCGGCGAGCTGACGTGCAGAATGAACAGGTGCAGCATACACTGCATTCGTCACTGTAGTAGGGGTACTCCTTTCATTGTGTCAATATCGCTGCATTATAGTACGCCAACTTTGCTTTGAACAATGCATGAAACACAGCCGAGGTGGCGTGGTGCGCCCGGTCGAAGAACGCAGCGAGAGGCAGGGGGATTGGCCTCCCAGACTGTAGCAGAAATCGTTTGCCCCAATCCGTTCCAAACGCTGCCTGCCGGATGCCCTAAACCCCTAAACCCTAAACCCATAGAAACCATTTCAAAGTGTGGTTTGCAGGATGCATGGCTTCAGAAGAATGCAGCAGGCGGAGTGCAGGCCGCGACCTGCACCTCTGAAGACCCTGGAAGCCTTGAGATTTTGTATCAAGGCTGTGCAGCCTTTTTTCCTCGTTAACGGTGCTTGGCATGGCAATCGGCCCTCAACCTCGAGGTGATGAGCCCCCAACCTCAACACAAAACCGGTCTTCGCTTCGGAATGTGAAAGCCGTATCTGCCCCTCTGCTGGGCCAGGAAGTTGTTTCCTGGCTAGGTTGTAGATGGAAAAGGGGGAACTTCGCAAAAAAAGCAAGACTCCTGAGGAAGGAAAAATCCTTGAACTCTAAATCTTCAAAAGTTGAGCCTGTTACACCCACAGGCCAACAGAAAAATGCGCCAAATGGTGTCTTCGACCGCTCTCCCATCTTAAGCCCTCCAGCTTCAACCCAAAGAGTCGCTTTAGCAACAAAAGCAATCCCTCGACCCCTCGCACAATTGAAGAGAAGACCCTTGTCTTCCCGGACCTTTATGGGACTTTCCGAAAATAGGGGGTACCTTATTTAGGGGTCCTTATAATAAGGATCCTACTATTTAGGGTGCCATATTAGGATCCCCTATTTTCTGAAACCCTCTTATCTTTTTCAATCAGGCCGGGGCGCACCAGCGACTCATGCGCTGCGGGCGGAGCCCTTGGTTCGAGGGGAAGAAAGGGACCTGAAAGATTGGAAGGGCCGTAGTCCGCGGGATTCTTCGGGTAGACTTTTCATCAAAAGACTATGGCCGAAGACTATTTGGAGCTTGAAGAAGTTTGTTCATCATGACGACTCGATTTCGGGACCTGTTGGAGGCCCAAGCCAAAGCCCAAGTACTACGAAGCCATGCACCCTGGAAGAAGTCCTGTCCCAAGGATTCCTGAGAGTGTCCTGCGAAGCGGCGTGCAGCTGGGCCAGGCAGCTAGTTGAGGGTTGGCAATGAAACTTTTCTCGTAGCGTTGCGGTAAGGGTTTGGGGTTTAGAGTTTAGGGGTTTATCTGCACCTGGACACTGGGCGTTTGAGGATCCCTTGCGAAAGTGATCAGGTGGCGAGGGCTCACTGTGGCATTTGCGATGCATAGGCGAGACATGCCAATCTGCACCGAACAACGGAGAGACTGCAGGCGCTCGCCAAGGACGCGGGCGTCTCCAAGAACTGGCGACAGGTGGTGGAGCCTTGGCAGATTTGCGTCTCGGGGTTGGAAGCCAAGAAACCCGAAACACCAAAACCCCGGTGCCCGAAACCCGGGACTTCGCCAGGGCCACGTCGAAGTCGGGCGTGGTGGCCCGACCAATAGTGAAAGCAACAGTTAGAAAGTCCCAATCCCGACAAGCAAACAATTCCGTGAGGAAAGACAGAAATAAGAACAGTGGCAATAGGTCTAATCTGAATTATGTAGCCGTGATGGAGCGGAGCTGAGGAGAATGCCTCCACGTGCGACAGCACTAGGAGGCAACGGCTTCCTTGGATTTTGGCCTGCTCACGCCAAAGTCTGGTCTTGACAGATGTGTTTCCGTGTCTGTGTTGTATGATACACTGATGCACTTCTTGGGTATTCTTGTATGAGGTTCTCTTATCTATCTCATGTGGTTGATAGGTGGTCATCGCAGATGGGGTTCGAGGATGAGGGAGTTCGCAAGCGATAGCGCGGTCCAAGAGGCAGCAATTCGTTTCAGGTCCGGCCTTGCTTTTCGAAGCTTTTTGGGCCGACTCTGAATGGCTTGTAGGTAAGGATCAAACCCTGAAAGCTTTCCCCCAAGCCAAACAGCCTGCTCTAGTGCACCCCAAAGCGCTTGAACTTAAGGAAGACTCCTAAACCCTAAACCCCACCATGGCAGGATTCCGAGCACCCCAACGGTGGCCAGCCCTCAGGGCAGCCCCAATGGTCAACCGAAAAGTGCGAGGGACGTGGTGAGGAAGTTCCAAGTCAAGCTCATGCAGGTGGGGCTCAGAAGATTTGGAGCGAAGTTTATGCTATGAAACATGAGGTGCTGATTCCAATGAGGATGCGTGCGAGGATTGCGCTGGCCGTGGTGTTGCTGGTGGTGGTGCTGCTGCTGGGGTTTTGGTGGTGGTGCTGGCCGTGGTGGCACCGCTAGGTGGTGATGAACTCTGGTGGTGGTGCTGTACCACATCATTCTGGTGTCACAATGACGATCAATGCTCTGTCAGTGTTTGTGTACAGCTCTCTTAGAGTGAATCTGGTCTTACACTTGTCTGCTTTGTTCTTGGGTGGCTTAGGCTTTTTGTTTCGATGACCCGGGGGGTGTTAGGAGCTGCTTCATTCGGCCTGAGACCTTGAGCCATTTCGACCCGAGGCCTTCGAACGCCTCAACCAGTTTTGCAAACCCTGAAATCCTCAAGTTCTCAGCTTCTGAAACCCTATTCAACGTTGCGGCCGTAAGCAAAGAGTCCCGACACCGGTCGAAGGAAGTGAGCCAGAATTTCGACCTACGCCTGCCCAAGTCCACTGCTGGGGGTCTGCAGTTGTCGCCGAGGAGTACTTGCACGGCATGCACGTTCCTGTTTCGGGTATAAGACCTTGCAGCAAAGGGTGATTATCAAGACTGATGGTCAAAAGCTCCCGAAAACGGCATCGCTACTTGTTGAAGCTCCCTCAGGCTTTAGGTGTTCGAGTTGTCTTAGGTAAACGTTCGACTTTACAGGCCTGCTCACGAACGCAAACGATCTCTTCTTGCTTGTCCTTTCGCTTACGATGCATGAGCATTTCACGTCTTGACTTGGAGTGGAAAACACAAGTTTCGATGTGAGAAATTCCTCTTTGGTGCCGCGTGCCAAGTGTTGAACCCATTGGCCCAGTGTTGTTACGTTTCCACTACACCGCAATGATCTTGCTGCTGAAGACGGCGTACAAGCACCCCTCAAGCTTGACAGCAAATCGGCGCACATGCAGCGCAGCTTGTATGAAGCAATTGTAGCCAGGAGGGCAATCATTGAAGTGATTGTAAAGAGTAAGAATGTTACGTATGATGGACCACCGTGCGGGAAGGAAGTTCGTGTTCACATGGTGACCACAGTCGTATCGCCATGATGCCATGCTCCCATGCAAAGCACCCGGCTCCTGGGATTTGTCCGGTGTCTTTTGACCACTGCGGCAGCAGCTCCAGTTGCTCTGTGTTGAAAAGCCAACTTGAGGAGGAAGCGACCAGAAGTCGAACCCTCCCTGGCGAGTGCGCGTGGAAACGAGGCTCCCTTTGTTTTGGTCGGTTTTTCGGCATGATGCCTCAGGGCTCATGCTGCTGCAAGTACTCAGTACGCTCGGATGCTGTCTGGATGCACCTCTGGCAGCTGTGCTGGTCACGACGGCGAAATCGCCAATGCCGTGGGGTTGTGTCGGGGTGCCTTCAGCTGTGAGTCAAACGGACATGGTGCTCATCAGTCGAGTCCCTCCGAAGGCAGATGAGTCGTTCAGATATGCACGTGAAGCAGACCAAGCAGATTACAGGCATCGCGGTAGCCTGGTGGTCGGGCGGATCAGGCTTCTACTTTCGAGAGTGCGTGTCTTTGCATCATCCTCTGATGGGGTTACCAAATTAGTACCACTGAACCCGAAACCCTAAACCCTAAACCCTAAACCCTAAACCCTAAACCCTAAACCCTAAACCCTAAACCCTAAACCCTGAACCCTAAACTCGATCCAGACCTGCTCAGGTTGGCAAGCCCGCCGGTCGGGAGCCTGGCAGGGGCCAACAAGCTGCGGTGGAAAGGTTTAGGGTTTAGGGTTTAGGGTTTAGGGTTTAGGGTTGAGGGTTTAGGGTTTAGGGTTTAGGGTTGAGGGTTTAGGGTTTAGGGTTTAGGGTTTGGTTTGGCGTTTATAAGGGCTGCCGAGCTATGACCTCCCGGTCTTGTCACAATTCATGGGAAGAGAAAGGTCTTATTCCCCAAACAGTGTGCTACCACTGTGGGTTTTTTAAGAAGTAGCTCCCCACGTCCCGTCACAGTAAATGCTGCAAAATGCGTCCCCACGTCCTATTACTTACATAGGATGCCTGCGGCGCGAGTCTCCCGATGTGGTGCGGTGCATCGTTTTCGCTGACGTCCTTCTGTTTGTGGAGGATTGGTTTCAGGCTTCCGCCCCCGGGCCAGGATACATTGCAAATGTGACGCTGTGGATTACTTCTTGCTCTTGCAAGCCTTGCATCGGAGCAGTACTTGAGGGACTAGATACACTGGATCGGGCAAGCTAAGGGGGGGAAGCAGAAGTGTCGTGCTCCCGAAACGCGGCCAGAGTTGGGGGAAAGCGCTTTCCTGCTCCTCCTCGAGCTTCCAGTACTTGAGTACCGGGAGGCCCTCATTGGGGGAAAGGCATTCGGCGCGTGGTTCTCGATACGCAGGTACTTGGAGGAAAGCATTTTGGCGGTGACTTGGGGGCTGTCCTGCTGGTCTACTGCTGGTGTCCTGGGGTCTCTTGGTGGTCTCTTGGTGGTGTCCTCGTGATTTTCCTGGTGGTGTCCTGGTGCTCTCTTGAGGTCTTGGGTCTCTTGGTGGTCTCCTGGTTTTCGCGGCCGTGGATGGTCTTGTGATGATCTCCGTCTCCTGGTGTTCTCTGGTTGGTCTCTTCGTGGTCTCCTGGCGTAACGGTGGTCTCTTCTTTCCTGGCGATCTCTTGCTGGTCTCCTGGTGTTGTCAGGCCATGTGAGGCCTTCAAGCTGGTGTGTTCGTGTACCAATGTAGTACACGGAAGCTTCCCGAAGGAGGTGTTTTCGAACACGCGTAGCGCGCGGGACGCTTCCGAAAAGCGGCTTACATGCTCGAAAAACTGTGGCGGCAACCTGTGTTTCCCTGCGGCCCGGTGGGTGATGACTGTGCTCATGGCAGTATATGGAAAACACAGATAGCAAACCGCGTCGTGGCTTCCTGGTCCTAATGGAATGCTTTTGGTAGTGTCGTTCACTGCTTGGGGATCTCCGCTGGCATAATGACGGTTGTGTTACGCCTTCAACCAACTTTGAGATAGCATCAAGGCACACGGTGCCTTAAGTGCCAAGGAAGTAAGTAGCACGTCTGAGGCAACTGCCTTTGTGTGGCTGCTGCTTACTTTGATCCCTCAGATGCACACTGCGGCTGAGGTTGAAGGAATGTTGGGGTTACGGCCTGTCTTCTGGCTGATCCTCTATATGTATGTATGTATGTATG